CCCTGTCTAAAAAAAAAAAAAAAAAAAGAATAGTACCTATTTCAGAACATCCAACTTGGTTTTCAAAGAAATCACTGGACAAATGACTGTGTTTTCAAGACAACTGATTGGACAAGACCTGTGCTCTTGGTGGCTTTCTCTGGCATACTTAGCTTTGTTAGACAAAGTGATTAAGAAATGGAGCATGGAGTTTCACACCCAGAACAATTTCAAGTGCCATTTTTGTATATAGAAGTGATTCTTCTGCTCTACCATTAGCATAACGTGTACTTAGGTTGTTTGGTTTGTATCTGGGAAGCACTGATGCTTCCTGTCTGGGATCATCTTTTGACCAGAAGCAGGCTGATTATGAAATGGTTAGCCAGAGTTAGCAGCGTCTGAGCTGCCGGTCGGTGCCTTGCTCTGTCTGCAGGGTGTGTGTCAAATCAGAAAGCCTAGAAAACATGAATAGTAAAATCTAGGTGCATAGAAATCCTCACTGTGAGTTGTTGGTGGATCAGGAGGAGTTACATAAGTCCTTGGGAATGAGTACAGGAGTCTCCTCAGATTGTCAGGTCCGGGACTGGGAACTGCCCTTAATTCCCATGAGCTTCACAGAAGTCTGTGTGAACCACTTCTACCCGTGCATGGCAAGGGGACCAAGACACGGAGGGAGAAGTGGGGGGGAAGGAGAAGTAAAACAAATTGAGATATGTACCAAAGCCCCGCGAGAAATGTAATCATGTATTGTAAATGTGTACTAATAAAAATTAAAATTGAAAAAAATAGAAACCTAAGTTGATACAAAGTGGATATCTGTATTTTTAAATGTACTATTTCTGTAGCAGCCAACATGGGCAAAACCGTGAAATGGAGTTGGTTCTGTAAATTGCTTTAAATTGACTCTGAATTTTGCCTTTAGGAAAAAATTTAAAGTTATTCGAAGACAGCTGGCTGTCACTGTGCTCCCCCAAAGCTTTCCAGTTTTTGTGTATTTTCTGTGAATGAAGTGACTGCTGTGGGAAGGTTAGGGTTCAGGGAGGAGGAGTATCATGGTATCAATAAAATAGTTTTGCGATTTTAACTTTTCCTTTTCTGTATCTACCACATATAGAATGCCGTCAGCCCCATTTCAGTATCTTACGTTCACCAGTCTGTGTTTTTCTTTGCCCAGAAGGATTTTCTTAGTGCTTGTACAGCAGAGACATCTTACGTGGGCCAGTCTTCAAAGGTGGGCAGTCTGTCAGTGTTTTCTGGAAAATTCATTAGATGGGTTTAAAATAAGCCTTTGGAGTTCCTAACTTGATTTCCTGGGCTCTCAAGAAGGGTTGGCCCCATTTACCCTTACTTTTTGAGTATTTTTCAAATGCTTGTACGTTCCCTTGCACTCTTCTAATAAAAATGAAAGCTATCAAGAAATGAGTTTGAGTTCAATCCCCGGTACCCCCCCAAAATAAAACAAGAAATGAGTTTGGCTAGCTCAAAGATCCAGGGCAAGAAACATAACACTTGAGAGCTTCAGTTGGTCTTTTATTTTTTTTACTTAGGAAAAAAATAGTTTGATAAGCTACCAGAGTTAGTCTCCTTTTAAAAACATCCTCTGAAAAGATCAGAACTGCCCTTTAGCAAAGCTATAAAAACTATTTCAAGTAAATTGTAATTGCTTTTGATTTTTAGTTTTTTGCAGCAAATGTCTGATTTTACATTTTTAGAAGTGTGAAAAAAGTCTGAAAATATTTTCAGGGATATTATTTAGACTATGATCATCTGGCTGAATTATGCCGAGCTAGGCTCTAGGGCAGCCGTTCACTTCTTCCTCTGCTGCCCAGACAGTAAAGCAGATAGTAAGCCAGGTCTTTAAAAGTGATTTGCTTACTTTGTATTGACATCTAAAGCCTTTTGCTTGACAACAATGACTTTCTCACTTTTTTAGACAAGCTTAAAGCTGGGTTACTCTGTGTTAATGGTTTCAGTATTCCTATACCAGCTGCAAGGAAAAAAAAACCAAAACCATGACTATAAACTCATTTGTTTATACTCCTAAATTGTTAGGTTAACCAAAACCTTTCCTGTTTGAGGGAGAATTACTGCTAGTTAACTTAGTTTGCAATGTTGTGCTTCAGATATGTGTCATATGAAAGTCTGAACTGTAATAAATATGGCTGTGTTGCTGTACTGACTGCTTTGTCACTGCTGATGTAGGGACAGCTGGGAGGAGTCCATTACCAAGAGGAGATACCCATCTAGAAAGTGAAAGTATCAGAAGCCTCTTGCAGGCTCATTATTGTGACTGTGTGCCTTCCTGAACCAAAGCATATACATCTAGATCACCGTCCTTGAGGAAGACTTTCTCCTAAATTTATGCTTAGAAAGGGAGTTTGACCCATGTTATTAACTCTGTCTTCCAAAGCACCAGCCAATAGTAATTGCCCTATGAATTTATTCTACCTAATCGCTCAGTGGCATTAATCGATTCTTGTCATAGTCTGCCAAAATCACCATCCGTTTTGCTCCCCGCCAAGTGTTTTGCCACATTTCCCTAATTGATCATCACCTGCTTCCAGAAATGTGAATTTGTCACCAGTTTTCCTCTGTGCGTGTACAGGAAGCTGAACTGCCCACAAATTTGACACATTGATTTTCTTGATCTCATTTGCTTCCAAAATTAAGTCACCTTTATCTGGTAAAGAAAGCAAATAAAAATCACATCAATTCTCAAGAGGGCAGACCTCAAGTTAACTCAAGGCACAGCTCCCCCCTTTAAAAGATACGACTGTATTAACGTGGACTGAGCCCATATACAAGGCTCTTGGTCTGGTCCTTGCTTATCTTTTATGTCAGTTTTACTTAAAAGAGAAATCCTCACTGATCAAAATAAATGCACAAGAGTGAGACAGCTTGGCATTTAAAATATACAATGATAGTTAAATATTGGCAAGGGAGTGCTTCCTGGATAGGACTGGCAAGGAACAAAACATTGCTTGCTTACCATAGTCTCTCCTTAGATTTAATAAAGTGTTTTAAATCTGCTCGGTTACCACTAGGTGGCAGTGGGTTAAAGAAAACTGTTTAACTGGAAGTCCCCAGAAGGACCCAAGTCTCCTGCTCTCCAGTCTGCTATGATTTACCCTTAAATGCTACCAGTCCATACTGAAGTGTTCAAGGAGAAACAAGATTTAATCTACCCAACTGGGAAAATGAATACTTTTTAAACCAGTGTTGAATTTACCTAATTTGAAGGTCAGGACTGATGGATTAGGTAATGCATTCATTCACATACTTGGAAAAGAGTGGTAAGAGAAAGGTTTCCCATTTCTGTTTTAGAGAATCTCTTGCTATTCTCCTATCAGAGAGCTCCTGCTTTCTTTTTGGAATACTGTCACTGGCCCTCTTCCCATCTGCTGCCAAGAGATTGCCTTCAGAAAAACTCTTGAAGCCCTTGTTTTTCAGCAGCTGTATCTCTGAAAGAATTCACTCCACCCAGTGATGACTCACGAAAGCCCAATTTTGAGAAAGGTTGCAGCTCTCGTGAATCTGTGACCAACAGCTGAGCCTCCACTCCAAGACTGTAAGCAAAAATGCTCGAGTCAAAGAAATTTGGTACTAAATAGAAAAACGGTTGTTTTCAGTTGGAACAATGGGTAGAGGGATGGACAGTGTTAGTCTGTCTCCTAGTACATCATGACAAGGCCTTGAGGAGACCTTACCCTCCATACCTCGTAGTTTTCCAGCAGCCTGTGGTGAAGAGGAATGCAGTATGTGAAATCATAAGTAACTGGTCTTCAAGGGAATTAAGTAAAAAATTATAATTGTGTTAGCTTTCCATCACTATATTGAAACGCCTGAGACAACTTATAAAGAGAAAAGGTTAGCTTTCCATCATTATATTGAAACGCCTGAGATAACTTATAAAGAGAAAAGGTTACTTGGCTCACAGGGTTGGAAGTTGAAGTACATGATCCATTGGCCCCATCAGTTTAGGCCTGTGGCAAAGCAGCACATCATGACAGGAGCATGTGGCAGAGAAAACCACTCACCTCATGGCCAGGAAGCAAAAGAGAAAAAGGAGAAATGGCTAGAATTCTACTAGGATGTCTTTGAGGGTACACTCCCCATAACCCAAAGCCCTCTCACTGGGCCCTAACCCTTAAATGTCACACCACCACCAAGTAGTGCCAGCCTGCAGAACAAGACTTTTCCACTGGGCCTTTGGGAGATTTTCAACATCCAGGTGTCAGTGACAAAGAGCTTTGTCTTTAATGCCTTTTTGCTCCTTGGTAACTTATACCATATTTCACTCAATCAACTTTGTAAAGGGGCAGAAAATAGTACAGTAAGAAATTGTCATTTTCAAGTAAATCAACTTTGTGCAGAGTGTATTACATGCATTTCTTTGTTTGGAAATAGCCACCCTATCTTAGTTACTTGCTCATCACCGGGACACCAGGGAGGAGAGGTTTATTTTGGCTCATGGTGTTTAGAAGGGTCAGTCCATGGTCACCTGGCTTCAAAGCAGGAAGGCATAGTAGAAGGGCCTGACTGGAGGAAAGCTGCTCACGCGATGCCCACATGGAAGCCGAGAGGGAAGGGAAGAGCTGGGAAGAGAGAGAAACCCATCCAGGCCATACCCCCAGGGACCAGCCTCTTCTGCCGAGAGCTTTCACTGGTTACTTTCAAGCTTTGTTTCCTGATCTCTAAAATAGGGATGACTCCTCCTGCCTCACAGGGTTGTTAATGCAATGTGCTGGGCCCATACAGCGCATGCTTAGGCATTTATGCCTGATGTATGAGGATTAGCAGTTTTCTTAACTTCCCTGTGCTTCTACTCTGAGACCTGAGACCAGGTTCAGCAACAAGAATAACAACAAAAATGGACTAAACAGATGTTGTTTTTCTCCTCTTTTCCAGCACACAACTGTTTGAAAGACTTGTTTCTTAGCTTCCCAAGTTGTGATTGTTTCATCAATTGGTTCTCCCTTGGTTAAAACTCCAGAAAAATCAACTTCATTTCCGGAAGAGCTCTGTGCTCTCCCAGGAACAACATTCGGCTCCATGGGACATTCATTAGTTGGGGTTACAAGAGGGCCATGGGGCACTGGAATGGTAATTTCCTACAAGGGACCCCAGTGACCCAGAGTGAGCTAGCTCAGCTGGTCTGAGCACGTGGCTAATGAGGAATGGGTCCGTTTCACTCCTGTGTGGGCCAATTAGTGTCACGTGGGAAGCACGCTCCTGAGGGCACCAGGCAGCAGCCTTCATGTGTCTGGCACTGGCTGCCAGGTTGGTTCATAACTGCAGCTCTCATCACTCTCAGAAATCAACCCAAATCCTACATCTTTTATATGATTACCTGACTCATTGTTCCAAATCTGCGGTCATTTACAGTCTATCCCCACAAATTTTTTTCTTCTCAGAAGGTCACTGCCTTTGTATTTGTTGAATATTTTTTTCTATAAATTGACTCACTTCCAAAGAAAATTGGGAAATTAACCATAAATTAAAAGTATATATTAAAATATATAACTATTAAAATTAAAAATGTTTCTGCCGGGCGTGGTGGCACACGCCTGTAATCCCAGCACTAGGGAGGCTGAGGCAGGAGGATCGCTATGAGTTTGAGACCAGCCTGGGCTACTTAGTGAGTTCCAGGTCAGTCTCAACTACATAGTGAGACCCTGTCTCAAAAAGCCAAAAAAAATAAAAAAAATAAAAAATAAAAATGTTTGTTTTCCTGCCATCTACAAACAGCTCCTATGCCACAGTGAGCAAGGGACTGTGTGTGCTGCATACATAGAACCTACATGTTTGTTGTGTAATCACACACACTGTTCCTGTTCAGTAATAAAGTGGTCACATCACCAAAAGCAATATAAAGGAATTGCTTTCATGGGAAAAGGCAGGATCAATGACCAAAAAGTTTCATACTTGAAGCAGTGAAATTATTTTTCACGCAGAAATTTCAATACTAAGAGCCCTTCTGATAGCCATAAAGGACAGCTATAAAATCTAAGCTCTGAACAAAGCCAGGGTTTAATTTACCTTTTAATCAAGAGTCACGGGATTTTGTTCACACTCTGCACTGGAAAAAGCATTAACACGGCACTTCTTACACAATCTCATCACCTTCATAGGACTTACAAAAAGCACAAAAATGCAAAGTGGGTGTTAGCTGCACATCTATGTTCCTCTTCAGTCATAAGTGAGTTTAGACTGAACTCCTTGGCCAGCCAGTTCCTTGTGGAGCTCAAGGTAGAACCAATAGTATTGGTAATATAAATGTATCTCTTAATTAACTGAGTCTGTTACATGCAGCCCGGTTATGAAAATGTACATCGGAGGACAAGTGCACATGAAGACACACATGCACACACCGAACTCCTCGAGGTTGAGAGGAAGCCTAGCCACTTCCAATGCATTAAAAAAAGAAGGGGTAGGGGGAAAAAATGAAAACCAAGACCTGTCATGTAGAGGTACAAGATCCCAACGATGAATGTAACTGTACTGTGTACCTAAAATGCACCACTAAACTCAATGAGGAAAAAAAAAAAGTGTCAAAGCAGAGTGGCCCAAGTCCTGGCTTATTTTTAAAACCAACGTTGGGAGATGGACAGCATCCAATCCTCTGGGTATCCATGAGCCTGTGCACAGCCTCACTGGGAAGGGAGACACAAGTGTGTCCAGTGGGCTTTGGGAATGCGAGGGCCTCCACACCACCAGGCTGGGCAGAGATGAGCCTGGCCTGCAGCGAGGAATTCTGTGCAGCTCTGGGCTCTAATGTTACTTCAGGACAGAATATAGCTTTGGCAATGTAGAGAAACAAAGCCATGTGGCACATGGAAGAATCAGAAGGTGAGAGCTTCTTACCTTCGTGTGTCTCGTTTGCGTGGATTCTCACTGCAGCCACCCCTGTCATTTCAACACCACTTGGCTTTAGCTTCCTCTTTGTCTTTGGAAAGCTACTAAGGGAGCAAGGCAGTTTTGTAAGAGCCAGGACACTAGCTGAGATGAGAAAAATCAAGATATTAAAAAGTAGGAAAGCAGTTTTCACTTTGCTTTCATTGGCTGTGCACTTGATGAGTACTTTAACTGGAAGAACCAGTTTGCACACATGCACAGCTGTGTACACACACACAAATGAACAGTTCTTGTTGCACAGTACTTGCTCGACAGTTCAACTGTATAATTAGGAAATGTTGTACAAGTATTTATTTAAATAGTATAAAAATAGTCCTTACTGCAAAAAATCTATTTGGATTCTGTTGGCTTGGCTTTGTCCTAAGAGTGATGCACATTGTGACCTAAGGCTCTGAGGGCAGACAGTAATGGGTGAGCTTGGTGTTCTGTGCCTGGTGCTGCAGTCTCTGCTCTACTGCTGCCAGGCCCAGTTATGCCTCTGCTGAGCCCTCCCACCCCGCCTATCTCCCTGTCCCTGAGCCCAGGCACATCTATGGCTCTGTGGAAAGTATTTTGGCAGAAGCTGCCTTCCCCTGTGCTGGTAGGCATCTGTCCTGAATGGCGTGGAACTGTTTTTTGCTTAGAACTATTTTTACTTATATTTCAATGAAGTAGGTAAGGTCACACATACTTGTGTGCCATTTTATTTCTATTTATTTTGCAGTACTGAGGACTGAACCCAGGGCCTCACATATGCTAGGCAAGTACTCGCCACTGAGCTACCTGAATTGCCCAGGCTAGCCCTGAACAGCAGCATCGTGAGCACAAGCGAACTCCTGAAGGAGTTTGTGTTCCAGGGACCCCAAATGCTACTACCAGCTACAGAAGCTTCAGGGCCTAGTGAATAGTGAAGATGTGGGGCCCTTTGCTCAGACACTATCAACGATATCAAGATGGTATCACAGAGAATTAAACAAAGCACAGGAAATCTGGGCAAGGTAGCACATGCCTGTCGTCCCAGCACTCGAGAGGTAGAGTCAGGAGGATTGCTGTGAGTCTGAGGCCTGCCTGGGCTACACAGCAAAAAATAAAACAAAACCAAAAAATAACAAACAGACTAAGCACAGGTCCTTTTAAGGGCGAGGCCATGTGTAACTAACTGCATGAGCTCCACGTCCAGGAAGTCGACCCCGCAGGAAGCACAGGAGCAGACCAGAGTGGAGCCAGGGGCAGGGGATGCAGTAGTGGAGGAGAAGGGTGGGCAGTTGGTAGCTCTTGGCAGGCACAGCACTGAGTTTAAAGTACACTGAATTAGTGCCATTGTGACTGATGTGTCCTACAGCAGTGTCCACACCAGCTGTGCTTGGTGACTACTCTGTTAGGTCTGAGGGGTCTACACATGGAAGCACTGGCATCATTCCAGAATGCGTTAAGTTCCATTTGATTTGAAATCACTCATCCACTTGGTTTTTTTTTTGTTGTTGTTGTTGTTGTTTTGTTTCGGTTTGGTTTTTCCCTAGTGTGAGGGATTAAATTCAGGATTTTGCACTTGCCAGGCACCCCTGAGCTACATCCACAGCCCTCACTCACACACTTGTAAGGAATTTCAACACGGCAACTATTTGTTTCCTTAAATATAATTTGAATGTTATAAAATTTCTAATGATTTCAAAAAATATTTTGCTTTTCTTAATCATTTACTTGTATAAGCTAAGTTTATTGTTAGTACTATCTGTCAATAATTTGAAGAGGTGATTATTAAAAAGTCTTCATGGGACTAGGCATGGTAGTACACAGCTACTCTGGAGGCTGAGGCAGGAGGATTATAACCTCAAGGCCAGCCTGTGTGACTTAGTGAGACCCTGTCTCAAAACAAAATATAAAAGGACCGAAGGTGTAGCTCTTGTCTAGCATGTGTGAGGCCCTGAGTTCAATTTCCATTGTCATTAAAAAAGTCTTGATGGGAATGAAAATGTCAGGAATTGCTACTTCAAGCAGAAAATCTGATATTAAAAAGCTAGGTTCACGGTCTGGGATTTAGCTCAGTGGTTCCGGCGCCTGCTTTGTAAGTGCAGGGACCCGAGTTTGATCCTTGTTACCAAAAAAAACAAAAAATAAAAACAAACAAACAAACAAACAAAAAGCTATGTCCATAAAAGCAAATGCAAATTTCTCATTAAAAACTGAAGGGATTATTTTTTTTGGAATTTTATACAAATTCAGTATTTAATGTCTTTCCTAATTTTGAATTTTATTTTCTTATACAACATGAAGAGTAACACAGCTTTGTGCCAAGTCTCATTTCTATATCTCAAATCCCCTCCAACTTATCCCAGTGTGTAGTTTAAATATTATTATTTTCTTCCAGATATGAAGCAAAAGATTGCTGGGAGCAATACCCTAGCCAGCAATGGTCTCAGGATGTCTGGGGTTATGAAGAAACTGCTATGCTTTATTGTGGGAGAAACAGTTAGTGTTCAATCACGGTGTTGACTAATAGTGTTTCATAGAAGCCTTGAAATGATTACATGAGAAACCATGTGAAAAGCACTCAGAACGGGGCCTGGCACACAGGAAATATTCCATGAGTGACAACTGCTATTATCTAGCACCTTTGATAACTAAAAATTTCTTCTAGCCAAGTATGGTGGCTCACACCTGTAATCCCAGCACTGAGGAAAACTGAGGCATGAGGATCACAAGTTCAGATCCTGCCTGGACAACTTAGCAAGACCCTGTCTCAAAAATTAAAAAGGGCTGAGAACATGGCTCAGTGGTAGAGAGCCCCTCATATTTGAACCCAGTACCATGAAGGGCAGGAGGTGGGGAGAGGTTCCATTGATTCTATGTCCATGGAGCTTTAGCTCTGTTCTTGCCCTCGTTATTCTTCCTGTCCCATACCACCATAATTTAGGGTTTTATCACTGCTCCCCTGGATAATTATTTAGCTTAATTTGTCTTTTTAGCTTCCAATGTCTTCATTTTTTTACCCATCTGGTTCGGTTAAAATGCTGTAGGCTTTAAGTAACCAGAGAAAATGTTTACTTTAGACATTAACACATCCTCAGTTTTCATAGTTGGTAGAGCAACCAGACAATATCAGGGCTCAGATTTAGGAAGTGTTGAGCATACAGTGTATGGAGTTGTGTTTGTGTATTTTACCTTCCTCCTCATGAGCTCAATATGGCTGCTATAGATCCAAGCATCACCGCTGCTCATGATGGCATCTAAAACTGTGGAGGAGAGTGATGTGTTCCTTGTGTATCTCTTTTTACCAGGGGAAAAATTCTTTCAGAAAGTCTTTAGAGCCAGGGATTTAGCTCAGTGGTTCTGCCACCTGCCTTGCAAGCACAAGGACCCGAGTTCGATCTGCGATACCAAAAAAAAAAAAAAACAAAACAAAAAACAAAACAAAACAAAAAAGCCAGCCCTTGAGAGTTCTACAGAACACATCTACTTTAAACCAATCACAGGCAAATGCGTATGGGATCACAGTAAGCAACTTACACATTTCAGGAATTATCCCTAGCGGGGAACTACATGCCCAGAGCACAGTATTAGCACTGTATCCAAACAGAATCAAAGTTCCCTAGCCAGGAAGATTGTGGTGGCTGCTGGGTAAACAACTAAGAATTTCAGCCCATTCTTACCAAATGCTACTGGCAGATACATCAAACGTCTCCTGCTTGAACAAGAGTACCACCCTACTGGGCAGGCTCTCAATCCTCCCTCCTAGGAGTAAGTGTCTGGCAACGAGGTCACATTTTGCCCACAAAATCCTCTTACAGTGTCTTCTACTTATGCTTCCAGCGCTATCGCCTGTTTGTGATTGTTCTCAATGTGGGAACTGCACGGCCGGTGTCTGCCCTCCTCGGGACTGCAACTTCCATCAGGACCCTGTCTTCTGTGTGCTTCTTTATGCCCAGTCTGAGCACAGTGCTTGGATGTGGTAGGTTTTCTCAAATGTTTGGTCAGAGGAAGCAGGCTTCCATTTCAACAGTTCGATATTTCATTTGGCAAAAGCAAGTTGCTTTTTATCAAAAGAGGTTGAAAGAATATGGTACCTCAACATCACCAGCATTTTGTTAAAGGACTAATTGCCAAGCCCTGTGTGCATGTGGGCCATTAGTAATTCTGTAGCTATGCAAATTAAAACAGTGATGTATGATTTATAGCTTTAATAACATTCTGAAGGCTCTTAAATTTTAATCACTTGCAACATCCTTTTTAATATTCAATTACTTTATTAACTAATTAGGTCACTTGCTGAAAAAGCACATAAGGCTGGTGCTATTTTAATATCAGCTGAGCCTCACAAAATACCTTTGAAATGGTGCAAATGGTTTATTTATTTTAAACAGATCATTAAGATGCTATAATTAATAAACCAATTATGAAAAAAGGCCTGATAGTGATAGATGTACAAGTACAATAGCAGTGTCCGATGGATTAGTCATTTTTATATACATACATCAAGGGGCAAAACTTAAATGAAACCACACTGTAAAAAGTGCTTTTCTAAATAATTAATTCATGCAATGACTGATAACCCTACTGTGGCAAACCCAACTTGAGGCTCATTCATTACACAGACCTGTAATGTGTACTTTCGTCTCATCCAATGACAATCTGGACGGAAAACCCATGGTGTTCCTTGACGCTTGCAAGCACCTTCATTTGCAGAGGGAGCGGGTTCTTCACTACTTCTCAGTGTGCTGGAGAGAGCAAAGCCTCCCAGAGGACTCCAGGTGCAGGCACATTGGGGTCAGCAGCAGCCCTGCTTATTGATTTCTCAGCGCTGCGTGAAGGCCTTCAAAGCAAACAGTGTGAACAAAGAACGTGGAGGCCAATCACGTAGATTTCCCCCCCAATATTCTCAAAGGAGCCTGTGGATTGTAACACTAACCCCACAATGCTAATGCACACAGATGCTGGGACTGCAGGTCGAGGGAGGGAGTGGGCGGCTTTCAGGCTGAGAGTAGAGTTTTATTCCTGGGATTAGGGTGGAGGTCAGAGGAACCAAATCCCTTTCTGGGCTGGGAAGGAACATTGTCAAATACTAGAGGCCAGGTCATTTTTCCTGAAAACAAACATACAGTAATAGAAACACATTAGCCATCTTTCCTTAGTGTTTCCTCTTTACCAAATACTAGTCAGTCGCCTGTTTTACCTCCTTAAATATCCTTACACATCTCAGGATGCACTGAGTAATTCCCACTAGAGTGCTTTCCAGGCTACATTCTGTAGTTTGGGCCAGTTTTAGCCCTTTGTCTTCTGTATTTTGGGATCAACACTGATCTACTAAGCATTAGGACCTGGCCCAGTACTAGGTATTAGGGACACAGGGGTGAACAACCCTTGCTGTCATGAGGCTTACATTCCACTGGGGGACATGGACAGTCCACAAGGAAACAATGCAGACGGGAACTCCAGACAATGTAAAGTGCCTCAGGGAAGAACAAGAAGAAGGCTGTTTGGAGGGTGACTGGGACAGCTCTTGGTGATTAGGTCAGCTGGAGGGGGGGTCTCTCCAAGAAGTGACATTTGCACCTGAACTGGAGGGTCTCCTACAGTAGCAGTGAACAGGGAGGGCAGGTGAGGTGAAAGCAGCAGGAAGAGACGGAAGGGACACGGTGGGTGGGATGATCAAGTGGCCAAGTGCAGACACCTGTTTACAATCAGACCCTCTTAACCTGTGTGGATTTTGATAGTGTGTTGCCCTGCGAGGCGAAAAACTGCAGAGAAAGCTATTTTCATCTTTTTCTTCTTACCAGTTGTACTCTGCAAGTGGTTACAGCTATGTTTTATGTATTTTCAATCTGTTTTAGCACCTTCACAATGTGTTGATGGGACTTTAAAATATTCATAAATTGCCAAATCATCCCCTGGATGCTATGTTCTTTGGGAAGGACAGCCTAGCTCAAACAATAAATCTGCTGTGGGTGCTACTTCAACAAAGAAAAATATCATGCTTCCTGGTTACCTACAGGGATTATCAGAAAGGGCCCCCTTAATCTCTTAACTATGAATGAAATAAATTGCATTCCAACACAGTACCCGTTCCTTCCTGGGCCCCTTATGTGGGCTATTGGGACTTTTTTTTATACCTATATAATGGGACCAGTATTTACCCAGTTCCCAGCAAAAGCTGAATTATCCTACAGAGGTGTTAAAGACATTTTTTTTTTCCAAACAGGACATGAAAAGATTAAATATAAGCAGAGTCCTATATTAATGAATAACTATCTTGGTGAATGAAAGTCCCTCAGGTTCAGGTGAATAGTTGTTCTTTCTTTCTCCATCAACCCAAAATGGGTCTTAATTAAGAATCTAAGTGAAAAGATTATATTAGTGCTTTCTATTGTTAAGGACAAGAAGAACTGTAAGTTTCCCAGTTAAGGAAAATGTGAGTTTGCATATTTTTAATGTCCTCTAAGGAGACTAAACAGTCCTTCCAAAGTCTTCACTGTCATGCTTTTCTCCATGTACCCTAAGTTTAACATGAAATTATTCTTATTCAATTTTTGTTTTATTTAAGCCTTGGCTATTTCAACTACATTAGAATATGTAAGCGGTCATTGCAAATATCTGTGTCTGCCACACTGACTATTAAATAGGTCTTGTCTAAGAAAACTGTACAAGATGTTATAGAAGAATAAGTTCTGAGTTATAAATGATTACTAAGAAAATTTATCTTCCTTCCTTTTTAAATTTGGATCTGGATCAAAATGATTGGGTTTTGAGATCTCCAAATGACTGTAACAAAAAAATCTAGCCCGTGAGACTTCAGATACAGGGTAACCCTCTGGTTGCACACAGTATCTTTCAAGAATTGATCATTACGGCCGGGGATTTAGCTCAGTGGTTCTGCTGCCTGCCTTGCAAGAGCAAGGTCCTGAGTTTGATCCGGTACCAAAATAACTGTACAAGATGTTATAGAAGAATAAGTTCTGAGTTATAAATGATTACTAAGAAAATTTATCTTCCTTCCTTTTTAAATTTGGATCTGGATCAAAATGATTGGGTTTTGAGATCTCCAAATGACTGTAACAAAAAAATCTAGCCCGTGAGACTTCAGATACAGGGTAACCCTCTGGTTGCACACAGTATCTTTCAAGAATTGATCATTACGGCCGGGGATTTAGCTCAGTGGTTCTGCTGCCTGCCTTGCAAGAGCAAGGTCCTGAGTTTGATCCCTGGTACCAAAACAAAAACAAAACAACAACAGCAACAACAACAACAACAAAACACAGTGGAAACCTCAGTGTCCTTTGCCCAACTTTAGGCATAGCTAGGTGAGAGAAACCAAGTGTGCGCTAGACTGGATTGCCCACAAACACACCTAGAGCTCATGTCCTGGGTTTTAGTAACTCCTTTCTCACACCAGGCAGTAACCACCTGTCTTTGAGCATTCTGTCCATAAAACAGTTGTAGTGTACCTCTGCCAAATGTGCAGATGTGTGAAATATTTATTGTCAGGCTATATATTAATCATGAATTACATATGTTAGATAAAATTGACACAAATAAACACTCGATTCTTCTTGTGTCATATGGTATTCTCCCAGGGATTGTGTGAACTCACCTGGAAGCTCACTGCTCTGCCCAACTGAGGCAGAAGCTGATAGATACATGGGCTCCTGCAGAAATGTGCCCCAGCTGGTAGGCAAACAGGTCTACTGCTTGGAATACCTTAGGATCATGGGGAGCACTTCTTCCATAAAAACCTGCATGGACAATGCAATAAATAAGTAAACAAGCTAAAATCTGCTCTTTGACATTCTCTGGAGCTTCCCCTGGGGAACCCTAGCCAGGGCTTCCCAAGAGATATGCAGTCACTTCAGCCACCAGCATTTCCCCAAGTTTTGCCCTTCTTATATGACCATCACACATTTTCCCATGCAATAGTTTTTCTTGTTGTTGTTTTGGTACCAGAGATCGAACTTGGGATCTTGCACTTGCAAGACAGGCGGTGGAATCACTGAGTCAAATTCCTGGACTATAGTTTAAAATTTTTTCTCAATTATGCAAATAAATACATTTCAAAGGGTCTTTTCTGTGACTACCACAAATTAAATACCAGCCTCACTTGCTGTAACTAGAAAGCACTCAAAAAGCCTACATTTAAAAATAGTCGTCTCCAAAAGAAAAAAATAAAGTCATCTATGTACCACCAAACTATAAAATAAATCAACCAACCAAACAAAAACACCACAGATTGGGAGTCATTGCATTTAGTTACTGAGAAACAAACACTGAATTTGGTAGGTCTTCCTTTCATAGGGTGACTGGCTGTTAACACTTGTGATCAAGCAATGGGTCACCTCTGGGCTCCGTCAGGTGCGTTCCTCCCTGACTGGGAAGCTGTAAAGTTGACAGGGCTCCACCAGGCTCACCAGCTCCAGCCTCAGTCCCCCACAATAGATGTGTCTCAGGCGTGTGATGCAGAGCCTTGCCCTGTCCCCCGCTACTCCACCACCCCCTCTGCCAGTGAAGTCTCGGAACACTCGGCACTGTCAACTACCCTTGAGTCCCTTTCTATACTGCTAATTTTAGTTTGGAAAAATGATCTTATTTGGTGTTAGCAGGGCTAAATATTTGAGAATTTACTTTTATATTCTAAGGAAACATTAAATTCAAGTTTGTGGGTCTAGGTCTACTTTCAGCCAAGCTATCAGACCTCAGTTTCTGTCTGGAAATCTGGGCTAACATATGTACTACTAAGTGTGCAGAAGAGAGTCCTCCCCCACCCTCTGAGGATAAAAGTCTGCTGAATGATGACTAAAGAACAATCAGTATAATCCCAGACAGGAGGAAGTCACCTTCGCCCAGTGGATATGTACTGAGTACTGCGATGGCCAGGTACAGACACAGGCTCACAGGCCTGTAGCACCACAGATGCAGCTGCATCCTGGGAGAAAGACAGATAAAATTCAACGCAAGGCAGCATGTGGTAGGTGCAGTTTCAGCACAGCGAGAGAGGCCATGCCCTCCGCACATGGGCTAACAGTGTGGGCTTTGGAATTAGATCAACCTGGTACAACTGCAGAGACTATCAGGGCCCCCGTGATGCCTTTTTCTTCAACACTACTGGGCCCCAATATTCTAATGAAACCAATCTGTGGATTCATGTGTTGTTTCCTCCTGCACATTTCACCCGGAGAAAGCAGTGAGAGATCCAAATCTGCTCTCCTCAGCCGGGCTCAGCTGTCAACACTTCTTGTTTGTTTCTTTTATTGGTTGGTTGTTTTGAGATAAGGTCTTGCTTTGTAGCCCAGCCTGGCCTCGAATTCACAGCAATCCTCCTGCCTTGGCTCCTAAGCACTGACATTACAGGCATGCACCACCACACCTGGCGAGCTACTTTCTATAACAGGACCTTTGTGTGTGCCCCAGTGTTTAAAGTCTCAGTGCCATAAACAATCCTCCACTTAGGCTCACTTCACTGTATATTGTAAATAACTGTGTGTTTACACACGTGCTGTTCTATAGGGTTATGAACACAATACAACATGCAATTTAAGGGATTTTCCAGGGCAATTCTGTCATGTTCTTTCTTTTACACTCAAATTTTATAAGTAAAAACCACAAAAGTCATAACCTCAGCTCACAGGTTATTATGAGAATTTGGTGAGACAACATACTAAATTTCTTAGTGTCGCACTTACACAAAACTGACAATAAAGGTTAAGGAAAACAGGACTGTCATATTGCCGACAGTGTTTTCCATAGAGAGTGAACACTTCAGTGCCTACTCTATGGTTATTATTAATGTAATTCTCCAAGGAGGGAGAGAGAAAAAAAGAGAGCTCCAGTTCCCCAGGAGTCTCTGAATTTTCCTAAACAAGAATGAGTGTCTCACTTACAGCCCCTGAGACCAGGGGAGGCCTCTGGGGTCAGGGGCTAGGACTGGCCTGGAGCAGTGTCAGAAAGGAAACACAGGCATGCAAGGAGTGACAGTAAGCTTCCTTTGGTGAGAGGAGGCAGAGGATAAATGTCTGGGAAGGTAACCCATGCTTAGAATAGCCTTGAATACCCAGGCTTGGCTCAGGTGGGAATGGAAGTCATCAGTGATTTCTGAGCTGGTGAGAGATGAACCAGACATTCAAAGTGAAGGAGAGGCTAGAAAAACCACTGAGGAGACTGTTTGCCTGTATTTATGACAGAGAATTCTGTGCTCAAAAGTGAGCAGCAACAGAGGAAGGGAAGATATTATATGACTTTGACAGAGAAAAACATCGCAGTCTTCACTTGTACTCCCAACTGAAACTGACTGAAGCTATATTGTCTGTCTCTAACAGTTCTGGAACATGATAAGGGTAAGGGAAACAAAAAGAATTAAATGATAAAGGAAAGTTTCTTCTTACAAGGAAGAGATGAGTATTATTTATACCACCTGAGTTTAAGCCATGAATTTGCTAGTGCCCAAGATATACAGGTATACATTCGAGAAGCATCAAATCTGTAGAGAAATTAAATTTTATCTAAAAAACAGAACATTAAGCTTTTCATCACACTGATATTGATAATGACACAAGCTACTGTCTGCCTAAGTGCGGCATTGGAATTCCTACTTTCCACTTGTTGAGGGTTAGAGAAATACTATCGGACACCTAAATCTAGAATTTCCCACTGAATTATTTTATAGAATGTCATCATATATATATGAATGATACAGTCCTCTCCTACAAAACCACTTCCCTGTGTCACTAAACCTTTTAAGGTTTTGAAACTTAGACTTTCATTGCTAACACGAACATACCACATAAGGTGGTGGTGAGTGTGGGGAAACAGATCTTACATTCTTACAGATAGGGTAATGATCTCTGTGTAGTGAGATCCTTCACTTCACAAAGGGGTTGCTGATAACCCACAGAACTGGGAGCTCATATGCTTTCACATGTGTACTGTGTTTGCTAGCATGGTTTCTTTCAAAGACAACCATGATCATCAGCTTGTGATAGGAGACCACGCAACTTGCTGTCCTTTTGTGGTTCCTAATTCCTTTTATTATTATTACTTTTGGGGGGATGCAGGGACAGGAATCCAGGTACAGAAGTACTTTACCACTAAGCTACATCCCACTTCCTCCATTATTTTTACTTATTCCCCTGTATGAATTTTCAAGCCAAGAAAAAAAAAAAAGAATGAAGCCTAAGGTCTTACTGCGATTTTTCCCTTGAAAAAGCCACGGAGGCCTGGAGTGGTGGTTCATTCCTAAAATCCCTGTACTGTGAGAGGCTGATGTAAAAGGACTGTAAACTCAAGTCCAGCCTGGGTAACAAGCAACTTAACAAAATGCTGTTTTAAAATTTTAAAAAGTGAAGGGGGACATTGCAGCTCAGGGCTAAGGCCTTCGGTTCAGTTTTCAGTACTGCAAAAACAATGAAACAAGAACAAAGAAGGGAAGGGGGAAGTGCCTGCTAAGAAAATGGAATCTGATCAAGGGCCCCATATGTCAAGTTAAGGAGAACACATACCCCAAAGAAGCCAAATGATAGCTCTTCTAAAGTAAGCATATTAGCTACTTGGAAGGCTGTGGCACGAAGACCAATCAGTCCACTTGTTTGGGACCAGTTTCACAACATACATTTTTTTTCACCTAAAAAAATAAAACAAAACATGGAATCACTATGTGATCTAGAAATCCCACTTCTTATTACATACTTAAAGGAATTGAAAACAGGGACCTAACAGACATTTGTACACCAGTGTTCAGAGCAGCATCTTTCACAATAGCCCAAAAGGTGGAAACAATCCAAATGTTCCTGGAAAGATGAATGGCAAACAGAATGTGGTTTTAACAAATGATGGGATGTGACTCTACTTTAAAACAGAGCAAAGTCCTAAAACATGATACAGCAGGGATGAACCTTGAGGATGTTGTGCTAAGTAATAGGCCAGGCACAAAGGGCCAATGCTATATGATTCCACTGACATGAGGTACATAGAATTCTGGAACCGGAATGGTCGTGACTGGCAACTGGAGGTGGGCTATGTGGGTACAGGGTTGGGAAAGATGGAAACCTGAGGAGGCAGATAGCAGTGACAATGCACAAGACTGTGGCGGTATTAATTAGAAATTGTGGAAATGGTAAATTTTATACTGTTTTACGTTTGTCACATACATTCACAATGGTATGCACTTTAAATACTGTGTAGGTATTTTACCATAATTGAAAATGTCTATTAAAAATACAGAAGGTAGTTGAGAGAATCCTCAAAACTTAAATTTCCAGTCTTCTTCCTTTACCCTTAAGATTCTCCCATGTGTCAGAGCATTCTAAGATCAGATTGGTGAGTGTAGGTTTGGTGGTAAAAGTGCAGGCTCCTCTAGATCTAATCTCCCCTCACAGAAGATATAATCTCCAACAAAGCTTCCACGAATGGCTCTTAAAACAGTTCATTCAAGAAACTGGGGAAGCATGGCTATAATCACCCAACAGTAACGGGAGGCACTGTTTACTCTGGGGTTCCTTTTAGAAAGTTGTTCCCACAGGACCCAGCACATGTTCCCCCCTTGCTTGTAGCACACAGAAGTTTCACTGTAGGGGTTTTCTAATTCCCTGGGAGTATCTTGTACCAACTTGATCCTGACTTTTCCTGCCTTTGTCATCTGGAGAAGAGTCCTTTGTTTTAAAAAGTCTTGGTGAGCACATGGTTTAGTCAGAACAAAATGGAAGATGTTTTTGAAACAGGAAGGCTATAAGGCTCAAATCAGATACTCAGGAAAAAGTTGAACCTAGGAGACATGGTCACCAGTTTGGAAAGGGTTAGCCCAAGTGTGATAACACAAAGAGACGAGTAGCTAACAGTTGACTGTTAACCTCCCAAACTCAATTCAATGTGACAGTGACACTTCACAGCACACTGCACCCAATCTCATTTGAAGCTGACAAAGATTGTTTCTGCTTTACATCTATTGGTTTATTAATGGTGTACAGCCTCTTAAGCAGATGCATATTCATTAGGTAGCCAGCTGTTAGGAGGTTCCCAGATGTCGAATGTAACTCTGTCTTGAACGTATTCTTTTTCCTTATCATGAAACAAAGTAATTGAGGCCTACTTATTAAAGAACCAGTTAATTACTAAAGCGGTACCTTATGGCACCCTTTTTATCATTCAAATCTGAGAACTCTTGGGACATTTAAGAAATTTGGTGAAGAGACAGTAGTTAAGATCCAACCTTTATTATATATAGAGATAGATGCTATATTGTATAGAGACACATTTCACATTGGCGGAATTAAGGGATGTGAAGAAAATTTAACAGACAGATCTAACAGTTACCATGTTTTCTTGGTTTATTATAGGAATTAGCTCTATAGGACAATACTGATAAACAATAAATTAATTCAAATATAAGTACCTTAAAGTTTCTATTGCATAAGCTTATCATTTTCCCATAAAACAGGGCTTTGAAAAATGCCTCAAACTTCATTTTATATTTGAAGAAATACAGTAGCCACCTCCCTCCCAAAAAGAACTTCTTCAACTGTTGGTAATCAAGTATTTTTTCAAATCATCATTTATTTCTAAATGCTCTTTGAAATCTTAAAGATATCAATTCACAGCCAGGGATTTAGTTCAGTAGTTCCGCTGCCCGCCTCACAAATGCAAGGTCCCAAGATCTCCAGTACCAAAAGAAAACAAAAAAACCAAACCAAAGATAATATTTCACATACATGTACATTCCATTTCTAGTTTTATTTGTTTCAAGGGCATCCTGATTTTGTATACATTTTTGGGGGGTAGTACTGGAGATCAAACCCAGGGGTGCTCTACTGAGCTATATCACCAGGCCTTATTTTTTGAAACAGGGCCTAAGTTGCCCTGCTGTGAATTTAAACTTGTGATCCTCCTGCCTCAGCCTCCCTCAGTGCTCTGTACCACTGTGGTGGCTTATGTGTACTCTTTTTGAAATGGACTCATTTCATAATGTGGCAACCCAGTGCCAAATCTGCTTTTGAGATTTGGCTAGTGCCTTATGCTAAATTAGATCACCATTGCACAAAGCAAACAAATGTTTACTCTTCAGAAGAGATGAGTCTGTATTTGCTCTGCAACTCATCTCCTGCTGCTGACCTTTAGAAAATGTGGACAGATTACATAAACATTTCAGAGCTTAGTTAAAAACATTTTAGTTAACAACCATTTACTAGCTGTCTATTGTGTGTGGAACACTACATGGGGTTTGTGGACAAACCGGCCAGAGCCAAGAGACAGGCAAGAAAAGAGCTGACAATTTATCTGTCTGTCATGCACAATCTCTAAATTCAAAAGTCTGACATATTAATACGGAGGCAATGAGTGATAATGGAATGAAACTGGATTTCAAGACCAAAGACCGGTCCTAGGGGCGGCTTCCTTAGCTACCTAGATCTCTTCTTACAACTTGTCTCACCTGTAACAAGAGGACAGTAACTGTGCTGCCTTCTTAGCTTAGGACTATTGTACACATTGGGGAAAAAGGCTGTACATTCACTCTGTAAACTGTAATAAACAAGTGTAAGTCATTTCAAATACTCTACTTGTTCTTGTAAGTGGCCCCTTATATACAAATAATTCATACTTTTCATATATAAATGAACTATAAATTCATTTGAACCTTGACAGTATCAGAATACTGCCATACAATTTTGCACTTGTTTTTGTGTACTGCGGATTGAACCTTGGGCCTTCAAACTGTGCTGCATGTCCACTCCTACTTCTGTAAATTACCTAGGTTGATCTCAAACCTGTGATCCTCCTACTTCAGCCTTCTGAGTAGCTGGGATTACAGGCAAACACTACCATGCCTGGCTACATTGAAGTATCTTAAAGTAAACGAGTCCTGTGATAACCATAACAAAGAAAGTAAGCAATGCCCTCAAAACATTCCATTTTTGGTGACAGCTCTCTCCAAGAAACTAGAGAGCGAAGAAAACTATTTTGTACCTTGTATGCCATTAGCATGTCCTTGCCTATCTCTCCTACTGTATTGCTTTTACATGGAGCCCCTCACACCTACTAAGCCCCTGGAACTTTCTTCTCCATTCACGTATGCAGTTTTTTAGGGCTAAACAACTTCCTGTGGCTTGACACAGCTGCCTCCTTATTCTCTGCAAAAAATCTCCTTCCACAGAAACCATCATACTGACACTAAATTCCTATTCTCTTCTAGCAGCAGCTTTACTTTGACATTTGTAACTCTTCAGACCTGCCTACTCTTCCACATGGTGGTCTTAAAGTTACCTGCAGAAATCACCGTAGCACACAACTTGAGGTAATGCAGGCAGTAAGCACAGGAATATGAATAAACACATTGAAGAAAATGTAGATAGTGGTACACTGTTTTGATGGCCCATTACAGCACTGCAATCTCATTTCCTAGTTGGGAAGATTTGGGCTTTCTATGTCATTAGAACTACTGTGACTCTTTTGGTATTAATTCTTGATGACTAAAACCATGAAAAAAATCTAAATACTAGAGCCTAAGAAAATAATAACAAAGATTACATATTCAATGCTTCAATAAGAAAAAATTGTTAATCTACTAGTTTCAAAAGTTCTGAAATGAGGAAATCTGCCTGGAATCCTCTTCTCTTTTCATGGTAAAACCTTACAAGTGTATTTACTAATGGCTGACCTTGGATTCTTTCTGATCAGTCACTGAAAATCAGTATGCATATATATATATGTTTTTGTTATTTTGTTTTGGCAGATCTTCCATAACAATCTTTCAAAGCTTCTTGACTCTCCTCTTAGTGTAAGGCAGTGCTGCACAGATCATGAGAAGGGAATAGGTACGTAAGAAGCACAGCCAGGGGTTGGTACTGCCACTTCCCTGGATCGCTCCTTCCATGGCGGGTACTGGACACACTGTATCCATAGTACCACTCTTCTGTACTGTCTTCAAGAACATAAAGTACACGAAGATGCCAGCCCCTCTTGTGAACAGTTCAGAGGTCTTAATTTCACTCTCTTCTTAATGGATAGAGATTTAAAGTCTACAACTCAGCAGGCATGCAACACCCAGTCTATATTTCCTTCAAAAACCCAAATGGGTAAGAAACTCATTCTTCATAATTATAAAAACTGGTAGATATGTACTAAGTCTCTGAAGAAAATCTCAAAACTGAGAAAATGTTGAGGTATTATGTTTTTAAATTCAGTACCCAGAGAGTAACAGGTGTTTATTGATGGTCACTGAAAGGCAAATATAGGTTCTGTACTCAAAACTGGTTGTGTACACCAAACAGATCACTTTATAAGAATAAATCAAGCAAATGGATCCATTATCCATTATACTAGGAAATAATATTAAAATTCTTCATAACACAGATCACCAAGTACATACTGTGGGCCACCAAGGACCCTGAGATTTCCCAAGGATCTGCAGGGTAGTAGCGTTTCTGCTCCTTTATCCTAGAGACTTGACTGTTTCCATATACCATATACTTCTACCAAAACAACTTACCAGGGCAGACTGAAAGCAGAAACAGGACCCAGCTGTTTCTATTAAGCCAGGTACTAAAGAGATTTGTAAAAATATAAAAGTGCCATCCTTGGGCCGGGGATTTGGCTCAGTGGTTCCGCCACCTGCCTCGCAAGCACAAGACCCAAGTTTGATCCCCAGTACCACAAAACAAACAAACAAACAAACAAAAACTGCCACTCTTCTTACAAACTTTAAATTTGGAAAACATTAGTTTATAATACTATAATTTATGTTAACATATAATGATTTATTAGCCAATTAATACCTTTAAAGCATTTATATTTTCATTTTAAATACAGTAAATATTGATAAAACTCACATAAACAAAAGCTCTTTGCAGGGCGGGGTGCCTCAGTTTTTAATTCTGTTAATGAAATCCTAAGACCAAATGGCTCCATACACCAATGCGTAGCAATCCTATCTCATAAAATAGAGAAAAGTGTGCATGAAGCAATGACATAATACAACTAAAAAGTATGGATAAGAATTTCACAGTTCAGAACATAGTTATTCAGAGTAAGAAACAAAACCCATTTTTGCCTATCAGGACTTCAATTGTTCCCAAATATGTCTACAAAACTAAGCATCTGAATTGGACACATGGTCATTCCCCACCAACTAGGGTGACTTAGTATAAAGGGGAGCAGGAGTTACTTATGTCTGTGAGGGAACAAGGGACAAGGAAGGCTGCCATTATTATTACAGAAGACACAAAAATTAAGGTCACGTTGGCTAAAAAGTAAATAAAAGCCCCACTGGCATGGTGATTTCTTATCTGGGTTTTAGAAGCACAGTTAATATCTTGGTCAACAAAATTGTAAGAATTTGTTCAATAATAAATTAAGATCTCTACAGCTTATAAAAGCTAAGAACATTTTAATGAGTCATTTGTGTGGCAAATCATATACCAAGAGTTCACTGTCATTGTTCTCTCCCACATCGGCACTAATGCGTGAGTAGATGTGAGCCAAACATAATTAACAATTTTTTTGCCAGTTTAAAAAAACAAAGCCAGTAAAATCATCTATTAGAAATCAACATAGAACAGTCTCTTAGGCTTTGGTAACATACTCACTCTGCTTTTAGGAATAATGCAGGAATATGAACTTTTGATTTGTGGCACAGATTAAATTACATTCAAGTGAAGTGTTAAGCACAATGACTGGCACAAATAAAGCTGTTGATATGCGAGCACATTTACATAAATCAAAAAATGGGAGGCAGAGAAACATTTACAGCACATATGTCACTGCTGATGGCTCTTACTCATCATTTCATTTAATTACCCCACACCTTGGGACTTTTAAGTTCATTTTAGGAAAAAGGACCACAGCCCAGGAAGACCAGGTAAACTGATCAGACTCACAGATATCAAGCGGTTGAAACAGGATTTCATCTGCTTCCAAGTACATGTTCTCACCCCAAAGTGGTGGTACAGTCCATGAGAACTGAAATATAAAGCTAGTTTATTTCAGAAATGCACTGACCATAACGTATGCTCTGTGCCTAGTACAGATTTATTTCCAAATGTCTTAGCTAGAATACTACACGTGATGACTGATCTTATCAAGACAAATGTAAAGTTCTGAAAGGCAAATTTACCTAAGAAAATTACCATTTCATAAATACTTGAGGGAAAAGTACTAAACCTTTTAAATACAAGGAAATAGAGGGCCTAATAAGTGATTTTTTTTGGTTTGTGTTTTTTGGTACCGGGGATTGAACTTGGGACCTTGCACTTGTGAGGCAGGCAGTGGAAGCACTGAGCTAAATCCCTGGCCCAATAGGTGATTTTTAAATAAAAGTAAAATCACAGGACCAAAACACTGCACAAGAGCACTATGTGTATTTTGAAGCTTTCAGAGAAGTAAAAACAAATCTAGAAATGGAAATAAAAATGAACATGTGAGGGGCCAGGGATTTAGATCAGCGGTTCTGCTGTCTGCCTCGAAAGCATAAGGACCTGAGTTCAATTTCCAGTACTCCCCACAAAAAGAACTGAAAAATGAATATCATAGGTAAACTGTGAAAACGGTAACGCTCTCCCCTTTTATCAGCCACACTATAAAATAGACACAAAGAGAAATGCTCTGGTTGAAAAGGGAAAGGGTAGACAGGCAGGAGGAGGCAAAGGAATACTATTTCTTGCCAGCTCCAAATGATTTTGGAGTCTTCCTGTCTTTCTTCAAAGAGCTTTTAGTTGTACCTTCAAGGACTAATCATTTTCAGTTGTAACTTCAAGGCCTGGGATTTAGCTCAGTGGCGCCGTGCCTGACTCATAAGCGCAACAATCCTGAGTTCAATCCCTGGTACCACCAAAAACACAAAAAACAAACAAACAAACAGAAGAGGGGCAATCTTATGTGCCCTCAGTGATACACAGGCAGGGTCTGGAAAATACTTTAGACAGAAATCTTATTAGAAAAAATTTAAATAAAAATATTCAGATATAAAATGCTTCCAAGAATCATACATACATTTTTCAATTTAAAAAAAACCCTACAGATTACAGGTTTTAAATACAACTGAAGAGATTCTATCTACCATGCTGCCACCAGAGGTTGGCTTGATTGCTCTGAAGTAACAACACTTGAAAGCTCCTATTCTTTGAAACTAATTTAAACACACTGAATTGTTGAAAGATTAAAAACCGCAGTCAGCTAATTACACTCTCTCTCATCTCTTATTCAGCAAATGAATCACTTTTCATTACCACTTAGCTGAAGTACATGAATTTCTGCCTAATTAGAAATGTTGTAGATGGAACATTAGCAAGAATGGAGCAGGTCAGGATATCTTTGCTGCTTCATTTTTAATTCCTAACAGTAGAGTCTGATAGGAAAGAATAGAGAAGTCATTAAATAATTTTGAATTATTTATAAAAATTACTTTGCTCAAATTATAATTATTTTTTCCCCAAATGGTCTCAAATGTCTAACAGAATGAAAAAAAAGCAGTTCAACATTGATTTTAATGAACATTTTAATGTTATGTATAACAGAACATTATGAATACAATGGAAACAAAGTTTATCAATTTAATAAAAAAATTTTTCAACATAAAGTGGGGAGGTAATAATTTCATACCTATATTATAGTATTTATTTTTAAAAATATTCCAAGCTCAAGGTTGAAACAATTAATTTTGCATTCCAAACTCTAAAACCATGATTTTCATGTGAGCTTAATGTAGAATTACAGCAGGAAAACAAACATTTTCATTAATTTCCTTTACTTGTCATTAAATCAATAAAATCTCTTGACTGCTACAGGTCTCCTTTAATAATATATATTTAATTCCTTTCTAGTGGAACTGTATTGCTAATGATGTATTATATACACACAAAACCAAAACAGAACAGATACCATAAAAAATCTAAAAATGAACATTGTTGAGTTCTAACATTTAACTTAAGGTTTTCATGGATTTTTACCTTTTCAATTTTTTGAAAAGATATGAAAAAGATAAAAATAAATATTTTTCTCTTTCAACTATTTCTAACTTAAGTGATGGCTACAGAGATAAACACGGAAGGAAGCCTTGCCAAGTGAATCACTGCAAATTTTAAATAATGACTACTAAAAACCAACAATATAATGGAAATTTTTTCTTCTTCTTTTTAAAGGAAACCATACAGCAGTCCTGGGGTGGGGAGAGGTTTTCTAGTTCTGCACAAGATCATTATAGCAGAAGACATGGGAAAAGTCCCAAATGACCACCAATTGCTTTAAAGAGGCTTTGTTATAATAAAAATTTGGATAGTATAATAGCAGTGTTCCTGGAACATTAGCAAAAGTATATACATTCCAGTTACCTTTGATTTAGCCATAATCACATATGTATGCCTTTTTTGGACAAAAATATATATTTTTATAAAAAACTGATCATCCAACTTTAATGATTTCATATATGGACTCAAGAGGGTAGTAAAAGGAACAGACCCAATTATGACAAGGTGATTCAGGGACAGAAAAATCAAGTTCCTCAGGAAAAGAAAAGTATAAAATTACAGATTCAAACACGTTTATTCAGCCCTATTCTCATCTTCCCACCAATGATGGTAAATGAACCCTTCAATTTATAAAGGCTTTCAATGGTGTCATCGCCCCATTTGTGTTCTATCTTCACTGAGAAAAATTATTCTGATTGCCTCACCTGAAGTGCTCTTGCTTGGTCTGAAATATTAGATACTTCATTTTTATAAAACAGCTTTTTTGGTTCTTTATTTAGGTTTATCTTAATTAACTGATAAAAGAAAGGGGAGCTGATTAGCGTTTTCCATCCCAATATCACCTATCTGCCCAGCTAAAAATTCTTCATTCAATCTGTTTCTTTACAATCTCCTACTTGCTGAAGTTGGCAAAATTTGCAAAGGCATCTTGCTTAGGCTGTACAGTTCCAGAAGACATGGCCATGTTGGGCATGCCCATTCCCATCGTGCCTGTCAAGCCCATCCCAGCAGCTGACATCCCTATGTTCATGTTCATGCCCATCATGCCCTGGTTCATCATTGGAGCACTGCCCAGAGGGGTCATTCCCATGGTGCCAGTCATCACATTGGGCATACTCATAGGCATGGGTCCTCCCAGCAAAGGGTTAGTTTGTGGTCGGACAGGAAGCATATTTGAGGGAGAACTGAGGTTCACAGCTCCAAAACTTTGAGTCATCACATTCAAAGGCTGTTGCATATCTATCAGAACAAAAAAGACAGAAGAACTTTACCAAACTAAATTCTTAACATTCAAAGAATGGAAAAACAGTATAATTTTCCTGACATCAATACTATTAGTCCTTATAAATTTCTTGACAGAGATTTTATAAGATCAGTCAATTAATTTGCACTACTTTTTCTTTTTGAAACACAGTCTTGTTCTGTAGTCCAGGGTGGCCTGAGACTTGCTCTATAGCTCACGATCCTCCTGCATTAGCTTCCTGAATACTGGGATTATAGGCATGCACCACTATGCCCAGCTATACTGGTTTATGTTCAGAAATATTTTGTGGCTGATGACCCTGGTTTCAGAGATGTAAAATACATGATCCCAAAATATTGCTACAAAATCTACTATTAAATCTTATGTAACACACACATTGTTAAGAGCTTGTGTCTATGAAAATCCTTAAAAAGTTTATATCCCTTGATTCACTGTTATTAGAACAGTATACTAAATAAAACTCAGAAATACAAAGATTCGCACAAAATCACAGAACAATTTAAAGTAACAAAAAACTGAAAACAATTTATATAACAAAAAGAACTTGAATAAATATAAAAAATATAAAAAACACTTTTTCCTAATAATATTCAACAAAAAAATTGTAATTTAATGTTGAATGAGAAAAGCAAGAAACAAAATAAATAAAGACAGAATGATCCCACACATTAAAAATATGCTTTTAAAAGGTGGGAAAAAATATAGTGATTACCTAGACTGCAGAATTTAAATGATTTTTATTATTATTTACAAAAATGATTGTATGGCAGATATTTTTACGTTAGTGATCAGGCCACCAAAACTCACTATAATACAATGAATGTTATCACAACAAGAACAGAATATAGTCAGTCAGTGTGCTAGGAGAGATGAGAGGTACCAAGCAAGCACATCACCCAAAAAGATCTGAAATAAATACTCAGTAAACTACACTTCACCACAGCTCCTGTTAGGTATTTTTACTTTAGTGCTTGAAGCAGTCCTGGCATCCTGGCAAAACATTGTAAGAACACAAAACTGAGTGTGCAGAGGTGACTTACTCTGTTGCTGAATCATTGTATTGAGCGATGGCTGCTGGGGTTTGGCCGGCTGCATACCAGGTAGCAAGTTGTCTAGGCTGATGTTTACACTGGGGTCAGACCAAGTGGAAGGCAGGGTTTTGCTGACCGATTTCTGGACCATATCTGTATTCTGATTATAGAGAGGATTAGGCTTCTGCAGCACTGTGCTAACATTTTGCAAAGGCTGAAAAATAAAGAAATGCTCTAAAAATTAAGCATCTGTCCCATAAAGATTATCACAGGAAAATTTGATTACAATAAAGTTCTGAAACAAAAAAGAGGCCCAAATGCTATATGCTGGTGTTTTTGACACCCTGAATCATCAACTTCAGGTCCCTGTGAAGTCCCAGTCACATTTAGAGTTGAAAAATCCAAATACATATCAAGAATAAGAATTATTGTTTGGTAAGTAACTCAAAGCCTAGAAGACACCCTCTGTAGCCAATGTTGGGGGCAACTACCAACGAGAGATTAGTATTGTTTTGAGGAAATATACAAGTAGAAATCTGTTCGTTTACTGTGGCGCTGGGGATTGAACCCAAAGTCTATAGTTCACACTGAATCACATCCCCAGCCTCTTTTTATTTTGAGACAGTGTCTTGCTAAGTTCTCAAACTGCCCAAGCTAGCCTCAAATTTGTGCTCCTTCTTGCCTCAAGTACCCAATGCACTGGAATTGCATGTGTGCACCACTACACCCAGCATGGAAATTTATTCTTACAAGATAATTCAGGACATGACTTTTCATACATAAGGTACAACCATCAAACAAGAAATTCTATTTCACAAATCCTGACCTCTCACTGTTTTGTGCACCCATCTGCCTAAAGGGAGCTAAACTAATGGAACTTCATATATGGGCCAATTTAGAAGAAAGCAGAATGTTAGAAGAAAGAAGCAGAAGTGCTTGATAGGTACTAAGGGTAACTCATGAAAAGTACAGGAGAAAGGAACAGTACAGGAAGAAAA